AAGTTTTGTATATAATTCAACTCAGGAAAACTGTTCATTAATTTTCTGTGAATTTGTCGATTTCCATGCATGCTTTCCTCTTGTCATTGCGGGATGGATGGAGGACCTGGCAAGTAACAGTGTCTAGTCGTTTGGATGGAATAGAAAAAGCAAGGTCCTTTGCAAACAGTGGCTTGCATGTATAAGAACCCTTGACAATTGGTTGGTGTGGAAAAGTAGGATGTTTAACACCATTTCATTTCATTTCCAGAATTTGTTTTCAATGATCTAGAATGACTTGAATCAAACAAACTTTTCTTTAACATAACAAGTGTTTGATACAGAAACTGTTTTCAAAATGGTATGTTAATATATATATGTCTAATATATATACAACCAATGAACTGTGTACAAATGTTCTTTATATGATCAAAAAATTGAAATCCAAAAAAACACACACTTTCTTGAGAATTGGTCACACAGAAGATGTATGAAAGACATAGTATTCCAGGGATGTCAATACTTTGTGTTCTTAGTCAGAGATATAGGGTTGTGACATTTACACAATCAACAAAAACAATACTCAAACCACCATTTTTATCTAATTTCTTTCTTTCATTTAGACAGTTGATACAAATTTGGTTGTATATTTTAGCTCTGTGAACAGAAACGGAATAATTTGTTTATAAATAAGGGGAAAAATAAAAGTTTAAACAAAAGAGTATTGCACAGAATATATGTTTAGGATTTTCTAAACAGATGAAAATATAATGAGCCAGAGCTAGAATTCAATTACCATAAAACAAGTTTACAATAATTGCTAACAGCAGACAGAGCGGAAGTATAGATTGTGTACACACAGTAAAATACCCAAAAATAAATCACATGAGATTGAGTAAACTTTATGGCTTGACATTTACTTGAATTTATTATATAATTTGAAAAAATATTTTTACGAATATTTTGTACCTCTTTATAAAGGTTGATGTATTAAACTACAAAACTTAATACTTTTGTTTGTTTAAAATCGTAATGTTGTTGATTTACAAGAAATACTTTTCTGCACCAACTTGGTTAATGAAGATGGGCATATGCAATGCCGTGTGCTATAACTATAAGGGAAATTTTGCCCCGACAGCGATGCATGTCAAAGCCTGAACATGACCTCATTTTTGTTCCATCCGAATGACTAGACACTGTACTTTGCCAGATCTTCCATTCTGCAGCCCTTACAAGGAACTTTCTCGGCCAATCATGGGATCGAAACTAGGATCTCCCGGTTAGTAAGCCAGTGCCTTACTCACTGATGCATTGTGGCTCCCTTAACAAGAAACATAAATTATTTTAAATTCCAATCATTTTGATCAACAACAGTGTTTTGTATATTATAACATATTTGCTATTTTATTAACTATATGAAGTATTTCATTACTAGCCGTATAGTGGTTTCATTACATTGTAGTATTTCAACTTAATCATTCATAGTCAGTTCAACAAAAACACATATATTCTGGTACATATTTTAATGTGGTCTCAAAATTTGCCTTTTAGTGCAGAGTAGTGTGCCTTTAGTACAAACGATGTGAATGTTCTGAAATTTATTTCTTATTAATGATATGATAAATAGGGAAATGGAGGAATTTATGTAGAAATCAATAGTCTTATACCACTTCATAAATAATGGATTAATTCTACTGTATGTTAAAATAAATTAGGTGTTCATCTTATACCACTGATCTCGTTCCAAGATCTTGAAGTGATTCAAACCCTCCAGTACAGGCATTTTAAAGATATGTTCCCGTGTACAAACTGGGTGATTTGATGATGTATTTGGACTAAAAACATATTCAAACTAATTAATCTATCAAAATTTTGCTTCAAATCCTTCTCAAAACACAGTTTGTGCAAGGGAATACCGCTGCTATAAAAAACTCTATTAAAAGAGGACATGTTTGTATCATGTGACTTCGCTGACGAACTACCTAGTAAACGGGTGCGAAGTCGGAGGAGAATTCATTGCATACACAAGACAATGTTGTCTTTAATCGCTATCCATTTATCATAAATATTGAAGCCTAATTAAATTCTCGGATTATCAACTGTCCATGTCGTTTTCCGTGACTTTTATCTCAGAAAGTGTTGTACGTCTAACTCTTCATAGAGTTTATCAACATGTACATCAAGCGCACAATCTCTGCGTGCAACCTTTGATGTCACGCGAGCAGACATTCCTAATCGTCGGGCAGTCAATTCGGATATTTCTACTTTCCATATATACCAAAATTGCCATGCTTTTATTGGAAGTAACCACCCGATAAATACTTTTCTGGGAACGTACCTTTAACACCAATAATGACATGGTCCCATCTTTGCAAAACCTACACTGCATCAATGGCAGCATATTTCAAAATATCTCGTAAGCTAAAAATCTTGTCATCTTCTAATTCAATGAAGATAGGTTGCCAGGCAATGAAACATACGGCCACAGCAGCTAAGTCGTCCTGGCAGTCAACAAGAATTTTTTTCTATTGTCGGTAATGAAACATAAATAATACACTAAAATCTGATTAAGAGTAACAATTATCAGAAAATCATTAGAATTTGTTTGGCTATTAGTACTGCCCCATGGTAACGTTTAGTATATGAAACATGTAATATATCAAGTTATCAAAAATCACTGAAAATCAATACTAGTTCGTTTCAAGACCTTAAACTCTGTGTATCAATCTAAAGTCAATCAGATGATACCTTTGGTCTCTGGAGCATCCACAAGATATTTCAAAGGTCTGATGACCTTAAACACTATGTATAAATCCGATATTAACTCTAGCCTCTAGAACGTCCAAAAAATATTTTGAAGTGATCAAGGGCCTCAACTCTGGCAGTAATTATCGGATGGATATCGTTGAAAATCAATAGGCTTCTTCGTCTCATGACATTAAACACTCTGTATAAATTTAAAGTCAATGGGATATTAACTTTAGCCTCTAGAGCATTTTCAAGCAATTGTGGACACCAGACCAACGGATGGGGGAGATGGCAATGTGGGCGTATAAAACTACACTATAATGCTTTTAAGTCAATATTGCCCATTAAATCCCAAATAGAACCAAATTTAATAACCTTATGTCTAAAGCATAATTGTATTTTCAATTGAAATAATAGGCACACAGCTCATTTTTAAAGTTATGGCTGGCCCAGACTTTTTCCTCACACTTTCTAATGATTCAAACATATTCTTAAACCCTCGTTTACATTACCTTTTAAAGCGCGCCAGGAACGATTACAAGAGTTAAATTTTGAGTACTTTTAACGGGACACACATAAGCGTTCTGTTCTGAAGTGAGGTGGTCTGTGGATATTTCTGAGAAGGCACGGTTAAATTTTCTAAGTAAAAACGTTAACCGCTCCCAGAATGAATTTATGTGTTTGAGGCGATATCAAACTTAATAATAGGTGAACACATAATGGCTATTTCTTTGAACAAATGCTATCCACTCCGTGAACATTTTTCAATACATGAGTCAATATCAACCTTGACCATTTTTCTGAGAACTTGCAATAAAGATTATTTATAAATGACATTAGTAACTATGTAGAAAATGTGATGAGACTACTACTCATACAAGATTTGCATCAGGTCACTCAAAATAGTCTTTTTTTTCATAATTCTCAGTAATGAGGAGATGAATTGTAACCAGATCGACCAGGTAACATGCATTGGAGACCTAAAATAATTTTTCTGTGATGAGTTCCATATTTAGTGTATCAAGAACAGTTGAGACAAAGGTTATTGTATTTTAATGTAAACAGTACAAATTTCTTGAATTTCACAGAGGCCAGGAACAGTTCCGAAACAAAACAAGTATAAACATAGCTTTATTCTATACATATATTTCATGCTTAAAAATAAACTGTGAGAGATTATTAGATACAAGCGATGATATTGATGTTTTGTATTACACAAATACTACTTATGCAAACAATTATATCCTCTATTGATCAACATGATTTTTGATTTATTATTATAGATTTTTATCTGTCCTTATTTGACTATAAAACTCTGCATGATTATTTGTTGAATTTCTACATAAATTTCTACATAATTTCTACAATATTTCATATGAATAACCAAGGGATCTGGATCTCAAATTCTCATATGTTTTTCTTTTCATTTAATTAAACAACAAAAATTAATTTCATTTAGCTGTGTTCTGAAAAAGGAGATTGCTAAAGCTTAAATCTAGGATTATACAGAAGTGAAATTAAATAGCAAAATGTAAAGAAATAGGCTATTCACCTTATCATTTAAGCACCAAATGTTGAGCTGTCTTAAAATAACCAGAAAAATTGCTCAGTGGGTTTATAATTAACTCAGAAATTGGATTTATGTGTAATGAGTGAACGCTACTACCACTCTATCATATATATTATATACACACACATATATATGGGATGATGTCTTTAAGTAACAACGGTACCTATTTTAAAACAAGTTTGGAACAAATTCTTATCTAAAATTATTTTGTTTGTTGAGTTTTGTCAGTTTTCATCCTCTGAGACTACTATACAGATGATGATCAATATACACTCCCTCTGACCCGAATAACCACCTACACATTCTTATACACTATTCCAAAACTCACTAAAAAATCTATACTGATTACAAAGATGGCTTCTATAACATGACATTGATTTATCCTTGCAGTTGATTCAGTTATGATAAATATCCATCTTTTAAAAAACGTACATCTTAATCCATTTATACAATGCAGAAGTCATCTATCAAACCATTACTCAAGGTCATTCGTTAGACATCAAATATTTAAATATTATCCCACACCCATGTCTTCTTTCAATGTTGGCCTCATGATTGTGATTAATGTAAAACAAAAAGACTTTTCTTCACTAATCTCTTATTTTGTTCTGCCAAATCATTATTCACATACACGAAATTATTATTCTATCATGTAATAATATCTCTGTAAATAAAACAGAACTGATTAAATAAAGTTAATTACCTGGAATCTCCATTATGCTCCTAACTTAAATAGCATAACAGATCAGATCAGATCAGAATAACAAAATTTTGTTCTGCTTTTGGTGGAGACAGGCAAAGACAATCCAAATTGGCCTAACTACAGTAAATTGTGTATCGCTTGCAAATACGAAGAAGCACGAAAACGGGTAATGTTCTGTTGGCTATGATGAAACTGAATAAAGCTTCTAGCAATAACTCTATCCAAGAATATCGCAGAATTGGTTGTAGTTATACAGCTAGAAGTAGGAGAAAGGGAAAATCAATTCATTGATCCAAAATCCTGAGACCCCATTACCATGACGACGTTGGAAGCCAGGCACTTAATCAACTATCACTCCATTGAAAGCTAGGATCCAAATAAAATAAAACATACACAATAAAAATTTCATTAAAAAATACAGATTAAAATGTCTAATGGATCTCTAATATGTAGAGTTTCATTGTAATATTTTAAAGAAGGCACGCATGTTTTACTGAGTAGACAACTAGCTATTTATTAAATGTTTGTTTAAGGCATCCAAATCAATGAACACCTAATCAATAATAAATGTATGTTAGAACCGCACTTTGCTTGGGGAACAATAAGCTAAAACAAAATAAAAAACACATGTACATGCAAGATTGATCATTATTCTAAAATGTTTTCAGTTTTTCTCTCAGTTAAATAGAAAATAATTAGCAGTTCCTGTAATTTCAAACATTGATTTTTCAATTATAGTTCTCTGTATCCTAGGTTTTCATCGAACTCACAGCAAACATACTCTTTCTTATTTTTAAATTTACTAATGAAGTAACTGATATCATAACCTTTCAATATCATTATAATATAGCATATATCGGTATATAATAGTAACAAGAGCATCGCTATCGCTGCAATATACGTCCACATTTCTGCTTTGATTGATATGGTACTTTTTAAAATAAAGAGCATAAAATATGAAATAGATGCAATGACTATAATATGACAAGAGGCAAAGAAGGCTAGGGTTTGTTTTGCCAAATTTACAGACTAAATATTAACAAAAAGTGGGTGTGACTACACCTCTGGGGGTCGGGACATGCACCTAAATAAATAGTTGCTTATTCTTACGGTATAAGGAATAAATAATTCAGGAAATTACTATTCGATATGCGCAAATATCGAAAGGATCCAAGATCTTTGTGTTATAAACTTACATTTCAAGTTTCAACAAAATCGGATAAAAATTGTGACCTCTATAGGGTCCACAACCTTGATATACCATATTTTTTACGCTATTTGAGAACGAACTGCAGCCATTTTGTCTGTCAATTTTGGGCCGATTTACACGAAATTCGAACTCAGCAATCATTAGGGTGTAACGGTGATATAATAATACGGCTTTTTAAATCAGATAAAAATTATGACCTCTATAGGGTCCACAAGCTAAAAACGCGATTTTTGGTACAATCAGGGGCCATAATTCAGGAAATTACAGTCCGATATGCGCGAATAGCGAAAGGAACCGAGATCTTTGGTTTATAAACTTACATTTCAAGTTTCAACAAAATCGGATAAAAATTGTGACCTTTATAGGGTCCACAACCTTGATATACCATATTTTTACACTATTTGAGAACGAACGACGGCCATTTTGTCTGTCAATTTTGGGTTGATTTTCATGAAATTCGAATTCAGTCGTCCTTAGGGTGTAACAGTGATATAATAATACAGTTTTTTAAATCGGTCCGATATGCGCGAATATCGAAAGGAACCGAGATCTTTGGGTTATAAACTTACATTTCAAGTTTCAACAAAATTGGATAAAAATTGTGACCTCTATAGGGTCCACAACCTTGATATACCATATTTTTACGCTATTTGCAGACGAACGGCGGCCATTTTGTCTGTCAATTTTGGGTCGATTTTCACAAAACTCGAACTCAGCCATCCTTAGGGTGTAACGGTGATATAATAATACGTTTTTTTAAATCGGATAAAAATTATGACCTCTATAGGGTCCACAAGCTAAAAACGCGATTTTTAGTACAATCAGGGGCCATAATTCAGGAAGTTACGGTCCGATAAGCGCGAATATCGAAAGGAACCAAGATCTTTTGGTTATAAACTAACATTTCAAGTTTCAACAAAATCAGATAAAAATTGTGACCTCTATAGTGTCCACAAGCTAAAAACGTGATTTTTCGTACAAACAGGGGCCATAATCCATGAAGTTTCGATCCGATACATGCCAATATCGAAAGCAGCCGAGATCTTTTGGCGATAAACCTATATTTCAAGTTTCATCAAAATCGGATAAGAATTGTGACCTGTAGAGTGTCCACAAACAAATTGTGGACGGACGGACGGACGCTATAAGGAATACATATGTCAAGTTTGAAGATGTTCCATTCAGAATTGCTGCCAGTATACGATAAACACAAACATTGGGCGAGGCTCTGCCCCTAGGAGTTGAGACATGCATCAAAATCAGTAGTTGCTGTCCATAAGCTATAAGGAATATCAAGTTCCAAGACGATCCATTAAAAATTGTGGCCTGTAGTCAACACACCGACCTACACAGAAAAAATGAGTGTAGCTCAGCCCCTGCCCCTGGGGATCGGGCATTCACCAAAAACAATTGGAATAGTTATGCAAAGTTTAAAAAGGATCTGTAAAGAATTGCCGCCTGTAGGCAACACAAAGACACACACAAAAATTGGGCGTGGCTCTGTCCCAGGGGGTCAGGCATGCACCAGAAATAATAAAGGTCAACGGAATAAGTATGAAAAGTATGTAGGCGACACACAGATACACAAGCAAAAATGAGCGTGGCTCTGCCCTGCCCCTGGGGGTTGGGCATTCTCCAAAAACAGTAGGGGGTGATCCTTAGGATATAACTTAGTATCCAAAGTTTCAAGATAATCCGTTAAGAAATGTGTCCTGTATATGACAAATACAAAAAATGGGTGTGGCTATTCTCCTGGGGGTCGGGCATGCACCAAAAACATTAGAGATCATCCTTAGGGTATAAGGAATAAGTATACAAATTTTCAAGACAATCCATTAAGAATTGCACCCTGTAGGTGACCCACAGACACACATACAGGGGTAACGGCATGTGTACGCATTCAGACGTCCACAAACAAATTCAAAAATTTTGAGCAGTGCCGTGGTATTTCAAATAAATAGATATGTCAACATGAATGTTATACAGTATTAATGATCATATTTGGATACAAATTCGCCACACAACGAGAAACAAGCCGACCACCAAGGTTGTCGGATAGACCACATTGATTACAAAGTGCAATACTGTTTTTTTCTTCTCAGTAACCTAGCAAGTAACTTTTAATCTATGACATCAGCTTTAAATTTTCACTGAAACTTTAAAGTTTGAAATCCTGGTGATGTTCGACAAAATAAAAAGAAAAAGCATATTAATTAATTAAAGATACAATTTCATATTTTCTAAGAAAGTCAAAACATAATTATTTCTATGTCTTTTGCTCAATAGGTTGTCAACTCACTATTATACGATCATAGGTTATCTTTCTCACACTTAAGAAGGGTTAGGGTTAGGGTGGAATAGCTATCTTCAAACGTTTGAATTTGAAGTTGAAAATGATATTTTTGACACTTTCTCAACTGGCAATAGTGAATTATAGGATTAATAGGATTATTCTTTAACAAGATAAGACTGTTTATAGATACCATCTATTTCAGGGCTTTATTTTAATACATTTTAAAAATATAACTTAAAAATATGAAATTGTAACTTTAATGTTTACCTTTTTGCTAAGCATTAAGCAATCAAACTTAGCCCAAGCAGAAAATCCTCATCATTGAACTCCATCAAGGCATTCCCCTATAGCAAGTTTGAATATTCTAGCTTAATTAAAAACAGAGTTATTGTGTCCCAAAAGGTGGGAGACAGACAGATGGATGAATCCATTCTTCCAAAGCCAGGGGACAAAAATTAAAAGATGAATCCATGGATGGTTATTATATGATAAAACTGTATACTATAAAAATCTCGATTAGTCTGGTGTCAAACTGAAGAGACATATAGAAGTATCATCTTGAACTAGATCTAAGCAAACTATGTCTGACAACAGTAAACATTTTTATGGATATGGGGTGATGCTGAGGTTTTTGAAATACATAATAATAATTAAATAATACGTCCAGACACAATAATCAACAAAGACAGTTGATGACATTTTAATATGCATTATTTTTTCAAGTCCATACTCTAAAATCATCCACTGTTTTAAAAAGATGGAAGAGGTATTGTATAGGACATAAATTCACATGTCTCTAATATCACTTTGGTGGAAGCTGATATTACCGTAAATATACAGACATTTTTCTTTGAGCTACCCCCCCACCACCCCAAGAAATAGTCCACACCTTCCAGTTTTTTTAGAACCAAAACACTGAAGTCAAAAATGGTATTGGCCAAAATATCGAAGTCAAATCGGGAAACAATTACCAGTCTGAGACCTTATTAATTTTGGTTGAAAGGGTAGGAAAAGCTGCCGTAATAAGAATCTGTACTCCTCTGTTAATTGGATTTAGTAAGGAATCCCCCATATTCCTGAAGCAATGGCCCGAGAAATCCCTCTCTGGCTATATATTGCTGGCTTAGCTTCTGATACTTGTGCTTTTGGGGAAGTGTGTCTATTTTCTTCTCTTTCAATCAAATCTATCCAAAAGCACAGCAACATGACAGCCCTTCATTTAATCAGGGGTCTTCCCTAAAACTTTGGACAGCGACTTAAGGTATTAAAATCGGTGAAAGTGTTGTTCGTCTCATAACAATATTGTTTACATTATATCCACAGAGTAAAAATCGTGTTGACAGTTGATAGCCTTGTTTGTCACAGAATTAGTTTTTCTGCAATATTCTGCTATGCACTGTTTAATTGGGCATAATAAAATCGTGAGTCATGACGTAACATTACGTAAACATATTTGGTCCAATTTGGAGCTTTGTTTGGTATTGTTACGCAGTAAGCTATTGGTTGTTAATCGGACTATTGACCAGTCATAATTTAGAACAAGAATTTGCTTTGTTTACAGCAGAGAGTAGTGGGATTAGCTCTAATCAAACGAAACACTGCGAGGAGTATGGGAATCCCCTTGTGTTTATTTTTATATCAAAAGTCTTCATGTGATCGAGAAAAGTTTTGTGTTTAAAACCAACCACTGGTTGAGCTTTC